ATGTGTGTGTGTGTGTGTGTCTGTGTGTCTGTGTGTGTGTCTGTTTGTAGGGTGGGTAGGAGGTGAATATTTTGACGAGGAATAAGTGCGACGTCGAGAAATAACCTTTAGAGGAATTCGCTTGAGGACCCACGGGAAAAAAAAGATCGTAGGAGGAGGTGGAAAAGGAAGAAAGGTGTGATTCAAACATGGAAGTATCGGCAAGATCAGAAGTTAAATGAAAGGCTAGTTGTATTCATGTGTTGATAATAGACAGGTATTATGTGACTGGACATCTTTTCATACGAATTTCATCCAATTTATTTAATTGATTTGATTTCGATTGGATTTTCCAGAAGAAAGTTCACAAAATACTTGCTCATCCTGTTCAATTTGACCTTTGCTGTTACAGCTGCTTTGTTATTTGTTGAATTCAAAAGAAAAAAAAGTGAATTGCTGCTACTAATGATTCACTTCATGTATATATACGTATATAAAGCCGCCTCCTGTTCCAAACATTTCAATGTTTATCTGTCACATCGAAAGGACATAGACATAGAAGTATGTATCGGGTGTTACATAGAAATTACGGAATCTAACTTTGCTTTATTGTCCGCATCAACTGTATAGTCAATCAGTAATTCCCGGATTTCACGTCATTATCATGGAAGGAAACCGGGAAAAAATTGCACGGATAAGGAAGAAGCATATGGATTTATTTCACAAAGCTTCTAGAAGCTTCTGATCTTCGTCGCTTTTGCGTATCTTCTGCTAATAGTTGCTGGGATTCAATATTCGAAATACTAATTAGATGTTGACGTCAAATAAAACATTTATCACATTTGTGCAGAGTAATGGATTTACAACAGTATATGGTACGGGTAAGTTAATCCATCAATCAAAATGTACAGTTGATGTTAGAGTGCAATATACAGACTAGAAATAGTGGTCAAGCAAATGGTTTCGGTGAATTGTACGAGTTTTAAACTTAAATTTATAGCCAAAGAAAAACTTAAATTACAAAATCTATGAAAGAAAAAAAAGTCCTTTGAAAATCAGGCATGTAAACTGTTGCAGTAAATTCTAAATGATAAGATGTTATGTCTATTTCTAGGCTCCTGAAACTTTCCCAATTGCATGGAATTGAATGGAATTGATTTAAATGAGTTGCTAAAATTTCCTTATTCTCTCCACTGGATTCGATAAAGATATTATCCCAGAAGAAATGAAATTGATTCTAATGGATCTCATTGTTAGCAGGTTTGAAACGAAGAGGTACAAGGAATAATGAATGGTTTCATGGGATGTTGGATGGTTATTGGATGGTCGGCAAATCTTTGTATTAGAACTTCCAAGCAGGTCTTTTCAAGTCATCCTTATTACCCGAAGAATTGGATGAACCAGCAGATGACGAAGTGGTTTCTTTTTTAGACCGTGATGATGGCTGGTGTCCAGGCGAGCTTCGCCTGTGCTCCTCAGTTGATGAAGGTCGTTCAAAATCCGGATACAGCAGACTTCTGAAAACAGCACTATTCCAGGAACTCATTGTCCGCAGATTTTAAATGAAAAGGTACAAGGAAGAGATGTAGGATGTTATTCCAAGTTTCTGGAATATCCACATATATTATATTCCAGAAACTTAGGATCTCCATCGCAATAGATAAAGCATAAAATTAATCAATTCAAAATGTAGATCATAATCTAAACTTGATTCTTGAATGTCTGAGTTACCTTTTGTCATCCTTTTGCTTTATTAGATCTGCTGTTGGTGATTTTGACTTTGTAAGACTGCGTTCATAAAGTCGGGCGGAATGGTTGGGTGACTTTGGTCGTGGTATACCAGTTACGGAATGACTGAAATGAAGAGTTTGTTAAATCCAAAAATTAAAATTAACGATTGAAATTGAAATTATTCAACTGAAGTAGTTGAAAGATAGATAAATGGGTTTATGTGGCGTTTTAAATTCTTTTTTGACTCCCTAAAAAGCAGGATCTAATCAATCATAATTAGTAAATAACGAATAAAAAATCAGTGCAAAATCACTGACTTCACTTTGTCCTTTCCGTTATTTTCTTTTTCTTTCCTTTTCTTCCTCTTGGCAGATTCTTGTCCATCTTTACTTCTCATGTTACTATTAGTTTGTCGTTGCGTTTCAGTAAGTAAAATTTGTAAATTGCTTTTAATTACTTGATTTTTGGAACTTTCACCTGCAGTGAAACTGTTCTGAAATGATATATTGTTGCATTGAAAGTAAGACTGAATAAATAATTTAAGGTGTAAATTTTCAGTCAGAATAATTCTCTATAAGTTAAGAAAACTTTCTTCCGTTTTGTGTTAGTGTACCAAAAGCCGAAATGTATGCAAACATATATTACAACATCGCTGAAAAATAACAAACCGATCTGTTTTTCTTGTCCTCTATTTCGGATTCGTGTAAAATCTCTAGGGCTTTTTGCAGCTGAGATATGAGAGCATCTTTTTCCTAAATAATTAATGAGCAAAGTTTTTTCATACTTCAATATACTAAGTCTGGTCTTTTCTTTGGTATCGCAAAAGTGCCAAAAATAGCCTTTGATCTAGAAACTTTTGAAAGATATTTTTATATCATTCTGAATGGAATAGTGAATAGATACGGAAAAATATTGTCTCACTTCAAGTGCATTTCGCAACAGTTGCGTCTCCTCATTCAATTCTGAATTTATTTTACTCGTTCCTGCTTCACTTCCTTCATTAGTGTTCGTTTGTATCCCACGTGTGCTAGTTTCAGGCCTGAAAAATTGTTGTTAATCTATTATATGCGTAATTTTCTTGCTGACAGATTTTTCCAGGTGACAGAGTAACACTATATAAAATCGTATTCAAAACATAAGCATTGATAATTTAAGCCAGTTCTGATATATCTGTAAATGTCTGAGAAAAAAAAAGTAGTTAATAAAATAATTGGTAAGAATCCAAACTTAGTTGTAAGCTGTTGCTGAAGCTTCTGATATTTACTAGTCAACTCCGTTTCATGTTTTTTCATCATTCCGATCGTTTTTTCGTGCTCCTTATTCAAGCTTATGATTTTTTTCTCGAGGATCTGAGCTTGTTGATTTTCTCGCTTCCTGATAAAATTTAAAATTTCGTCATAAATTCTTACTGTTACGTGATTAGATTAAAATAATCTATTGGTTGTTTTTAATTTTTAGAGCTTTGAAATTACTGGTTATTAAATTAAATCAGTTTTTACCTGAGATATTCGTCAGTCTTTTTGCTAAAGTTCTTAATTTCCTGGTTTTTTCTTTCAAGTTCACATTGTGTCGCACTTATTTCATCCGTTAATTTCTTATTTTTGTCGGATAGCTCGGTAATTTGTTTTGCTTTTTGAATGCAATCATTTTCCAGCATCCTTATACTCTCTTCTAATTCTTTATTCTGAAAATTCATACTTAGTTTGCTTGACGCCAAAAAGTTTTTTGGAATTTCAAAAATTTGAAAACTGAAGCCAAGATTGTTCAAGCTTCCACAAAGTTGTGGAAAGTTTCCTTGCCTTAGTGATTTCAAAAGGAACAAAACCTATTCCTGGAATTGCAAATAGCTATAAATGTGATTTTACTAGCACTGAAAAAACTAACCTTCTCATCGGCATTGTTTTTGGCTTTTTTGATTTCCATTTCATATCTGGATGTTACTTTTAATACTTCTTCTTCAACTCGCTCTTCCAACTGCGCTTGAAATTCATCTAAAAAATTGATAATTAACTACTTAATAATTGATTAAATGACAACAATTATTGTAGATAAAGGTGATCACAACATGATATTCAATAATGCTAGTAGTCACTATTATAATATTCTAGCAAAGAATTAAATTGTTATTTAAGCCTGTGTTCAGCGAAAGAGCAGAGGAGTGAGAAAGATGAAGAATTTGGTAGTGCTGCAGTCATTTCGATACCTTATAGCATTTTGACCAGTATAAAAAATTTAATTTAATCATTTTAATTACTTTAATGTTTAGCGTACCTCGCAAACGTCTCGCATTGATTTCTGAACTTTCTGTACTTTGCCATTCCGGACTAATCTCTTCAGTTATTATCCGATCCACATTAGATCTCTTGAAAAGTTTGTTTTACCTTTCAAAATTGGGATAAAAAAAAGGCAGAAATTAAAAATTACAGAAGTGAATCAGTGGAACCGGTATACCATAAATTGTACGATTCCTTCGAAACCTATGAAAACTATGTTTTGCTGAAGTAATCAATGGTGTAGAGGCCAATCTTCCAAAGGTTTTCATTTCAACTCTTGCGATCTCACTACTAATTAATATTTTTGCCTTGTTGAAATGGATGAAAACATATATGTAAGATGTGTAAAAAAAACGCATATGTAAAAAAAAATACATTTTATGTATTTTATATAAGATATGCTTAAGTGAAACAGTCTTACGATTTACTAAAAGAATGAATTAAATTTGTTTGATCAGATTACCATTTGTTCACTGCTTTTAATATCACTTGGATCTTGATCATTTGGATTCCCCAGTTTATTCATTAATTCTTCGTTTTCAAATTTTAATTTCATTAAGTTTTCATTTAAAATTGCCACATCCTCTCGTTCAGCTAAGAGTTCAGCGATCTAAAAAAATTCTAAAAATTTATCCCAAAAATTAAAAAGGTAAAGCGATCAAGTGAATAGAATTAAGCTTTTGTATTACCTTAGTTTTCAACTTCTTCACTTCCTCTTCCATTTTCAAATATCCATCTGAATTCATTATTTGAAATCTGTAATACAATATTGATATTTCATTAAGCTATAGTAGTAAATGCACATATGTAATTGTGAAAACAATTATTCGGTTACTTTCATAGGCTAATATTTCACATCAGAATTTTTCGCATAATAGAAGTGACGCACCCAATTTCATCTTTGATAATTGGCAACTCATCAACTGTAGTATGTTGCCGCTCAAGTTGCTCCAATTTTTTAATTTCTATTTCTTTCTGATTCAGCAATTCCTTGTATCTTTCCACTTCTTTTTTCATTTCATCACTTTCATCAATTAATTGCTTAATTTTTCGTACTGTTCCACTGCCACCATCCTAAACAGTTCAGAAATTCATTAGTCTTACTGGGAATTCTCTACCAGCATAAAATGTTAACAATTGTCCGTAATTTATATTAGATGAACTGAAGTAATGTGCCAGAAAAGTACGCCTTCGAATGAATTCATAAATCGGAGAACATTTGATAGTTCTTAACAGTATAGTGATTCAGTGTATTTAGTTGATTCGAAATGGAAAAGAATTTAAAATTGAATTAATGCGTCCTTGCAATATTTTCAGCACTTTTAAGAACAATATCTTAGTCTTCAAAGATATTAAAGATGATGGAAAATAAGCATACATCATTGCTATCTACCAATAGGTCAAGTTTATGTTTCAATGCATCCACTTCATTCAATAATGCACGATTTTCTTCTTTAACATCAGATATTTCCTGAAATGCAAAAGTTATTGTAATGCTATCTTTAGAAAAAAAATTTCATTCCAATGTTTAAATATGAATATATCGATTAGTAATGGGAAAATCATAACAATAAAATGTCTTGCAGAAGGTGAGAGGAAATCCCAGTGAGATAATTACTAACTGATACAAGAGTACCTGTTCTACATTTCGTTTCGTACCATGTTCCAGATGATCCTTTAAGCTGTTGTATTGAGATTCGAGCTCATTTAATTTCGAACTAAATTCTTTTTTCATTGCATATTCACGTTCTTCTGCCTGTTGACGTTCTCTCTCCAAAAGACTTTCATAGTGATCTTTTGTTGATTCTTTTTCCTTTGTCACTGATTCCAGAACCTATACATTTGAGTAATTTAATTATTTTGGTCATATCAATTTTCTTTTTTTGAATTGTTTTTTGTTGTTTGATAAGAACCAGAATTATTGAAATGGTTGTATGCATGTTTACAGGACTGTTCATTGTTCTTGATTTGATTAATTAGTGAAAATAATAGTTTTGACTTTGATAGCGGGAAAAAAAACTCACCGCTTCGAGAGCATTTACTTGTGAATTCTGCAATTTTGTTTGACTTTCACTTTGACTTTGCAAATTCTCTCGTTCTTTTTCCAAAAATTCCACCTTATTTTTCAATGCCTTTACTTCTGCTTGTAAATCCCGAATGAATGCTTCCAGCTTACTTTTTGCTGTTTCCACAATATTCAGTAAATCTATAAGTCATTATCCTATCATATATGTTTCCTCCAATAATTTTTTTTTCCTGCAAAAAAAAAAAAAAGAAAGAAAAATGAATGAATGAAAAAGTTATTACTGGATTTGCGTTGCAATTCCTCTTCCTGTTGTCGATATTGTTGTTTGGCTTCCTGTAGTTCGATTTCTAATTGCGAAAGTTTTCTCAATGAATCGTTCGTTTCGTTGCGAGCTTCCTCAAGCTGAAAAAAAAAAGTATCTTCAATTTGTGATAAACTTGGCACCTATTTGGTTGTTCTCTTTCATTTTGGGCTTATTCTCAAATGATTTCGAATGATAAATGAAGAAATTGTCGAATTTTAAATGAAATGGCATCTTTATTTTGGGTTCATTTTCAAACACATTAAGAAGTTTTGAAATTGGAAGACAAGATAGTAAGAAAAACTATGCTAACATCAAACCAAAACAAATAAAATAAGGATCAGATGAATTCGTTGATTGTTGATTAGGACAATAATATGTTAATTCGGTCAGTCCATCGATAAGAACAAACTAAATTTTGCAAGACTTAATTATATGTATTTTAATCAGTAAAATTCATGTAAAATTTACTTTTAGAAAGTACTACTCAGTACCTCTTTCGAGATTGCCACAACTTCTGCTTCCTTTATTAGTAATCGTTTTTCCAGTGCTGTCACTTCATTCTTACATGTTGCAAGTTCTTCTCTACTCCGTTTTGTCTGATCTTGTAACTCTTGGAGACGATCGTGGAATTCATCTTGCCTGTTCATATGTATGTATACGTTCATTTATATGTCGTAAATGATCAAACAACAATTTAATTTGATTTTCCAGCTTTAAAATTATTCAGGAACACAGCATATTTAGACTTTGCTATATCTGGAAATCTGTGTGAACTATAATCGGAATTTTGTGCCTGAATATAAATATTACCGTGCTAAAAGTTCCTCTTTGAGAGCTTCTTCGTGATCTCGTAGCGCTTCAAGTTCTTTAGAATACAACATTTTAGCTGCTGTTAATTCTGTTTCATATAAACTTTGTGCTCTTCGAAGTTTCATCTCAAACGTCTCTCCCAGTCGCTCCTTTTCAGCTTTTAAGCTTTTTCGTTCTTCTTCTAGCCGTTGAATTTCAATCATATATCTATAGTTAGATATTCGTTGATTGTTTTCAGATGGTTAACGTGATTTTTTATAGTAAGAATGTATCTCATCAATAAAAAACCAACTTTTGTTCCAGATTGAGTAACTGTGATTCGGAAAAACGCTGCTCCAGTAATTGAATCTCCTTCTGATGCTCTTGGCGTAATTTTTCGAGCGCTTGTTCTTTTTCTCGCTCAAATTTGTCCTAGATTAAATTGGGTTCAGGAACTTACCCAAATTTAGGAAGAATGGAAAGTTGGGGGAGCGAAAATTGCATTTTTCTTTCGCTAATTTCATGCTATATTATTGGTGTACTAATGACGTATATTTTAGAAAGGAGAGCTGATTTCCGATAATTCTGTAAATAAATGTAATGTTTTGAAAAGACAAAAGAATAGTGGATGGTACTTGTAAAGCTTGAAAGCTTTTCATTCGAGCTTCGAAATCTTTTTTAGCTCCAAGAACTTCTTCACTAAGAGCTATTATTCGGCTAGAATATTCCGCTTCCAATTTTCGTTCTCGTTCTGCTACTCGTTCTCTATATTCGCTATAACATATATACTGACTGAATTTTACAAGTATTAGTTTGCTTTATTTATGCATAATTGAAGAAAAATTAAGTTTTATTAAAGTCTCGTTCATAGAATTATTCTATTTACTTAAAAATTTTGGAAAATGATCCACTATCTAACCTAAATGTACCCATAACATTATATTTTTGTCGCTCATATTCAGCAACCGTATCCTCCAAAGTTTGTATTTTCTTCTTCAGCTCACTTTCTCTTCCTCGAGGTGCAGCTAAAATAAATTCTTCGTTTTATATACAGGAAGAAATTGGGAAAATTTACTTATATGCAGACTTAGTTAAAGGTCATCAGAAAGATCAATAGGATTTCGGTCAAATATAATGCTCCTTGAAAGCTGAATTTTTCCTCACAAGGTAAAAGACTTTACTTGAAGAAGCAACTTTGAGGATAGAGAATAGCTTCGTCGATTCCTCTGAACTATTTCCCTGATTATTGTTGCTATTGCCACTTTGCGCCTTGGGTGGTGTTGGCCAAGCAATAATATCAGGTCGCGAATCTCTAATTACACTAGCATGTGGCGAGCAATTACCACACCTTTCCGTACTGCAAGTAATTTGATCTTGTCTGCATACATTTTTTTTTCCATTTGTTGCAAATGAGATTTTACGAACACTATTATTAATAAATTGACCAGGTATAGTCACAAAATTTGAGATCGAATTTAGTGCAATTCATAGAAAGAGATGGAATTTATGGACATTAATTAGAATTCATAATATTGCAAAAGTTACAACTCGTTTCTATTCTATCAAACCTCTTACGCTTCAACTTTAACGCTCCACGAAGATTATGTCATAGTAGTATCTGTAATCTTTAATTAGTTGTAGTTTTAGGAATTAACTCCATTGTTTTTAAGAATTTATTTACACTTTGACGAAGATTGTGCTCAGGTCCGTAAAATAATGTAAATGAGTATCATAAATTGATTAGTTGAAATGTTTCATTGAACTGATTCCGATGAACGAAGTAAGAACCTGTTATCAAGTGGTTGAGGTGATTTACTTTTTCGGCGTGGTGATCTGGTACCATTGCCAGTGACATGAGGTGATATGGACTGAAGACGATTGCTTGGTGAACATTCCTCAAATTCATCCGACAGATAACCAAACTGAACATAAACTGATAATTTTTTTTTAACTTTTATTTTATGAACATAATAAGAAATGGAAGTAAATCATTTTTTCTTATCAGTTATTAATTACAAAAAAGAAAGAAATGGTCAAAATGTTTAAATTCTTTATAAATTACTTTCGATATTACTAAGAAACTGGGTTACAAAACTATTTCCATTCTTATCTTTTTTGTTCAGTCCAGGAAAATCACTCACTCCAAAACTATCTATATCCAACAACATAGAGGAAGCAAGTCGAGCTTATCTGCTGCTAATGATATGAATAAAGATATGACAAAAACAGTTAATTGTTAATTTCCAATAACAGTTTTAATTTAAGAAGAAAGCAAGAAGGAAAATTTTAAGAAGGAATTTTAACCTTTCATTAGAAGTGCTTTTCTTTCTAGCTGTTATGAAGCTTTAAAAAAATGTTTGTGATAGTAAACGAAGAATTATTTACAAAAAAAAATGAACTTGGCTTCCAGATGAATTAATCCAAGCAATGGCTTACCATTTCGCGAAAACTTTCAGTCATATCAAACCATTTGTTGTCATCCACAATATTTTCAATACTTTCATCGACTGCTTCAATAGCAGTGCCAAAATAACATCAGAAAAAATATATAAATTATCGATTTTTTTTTTGTTAATTTTCTTCTTAATCAAAATAATATGATCATGTTAATAACAAGCTCATTCTGTTTCAGTTGTCCAGGTCATGATATTTCTCTACGACTTCTTTTTCCTTTAATTGAAAATCTATCTGAAAATCTTTCATGTAATTACGATTCTAGATGTAATTTAATAAAATGATACTGAATTCATAATAGACGTTGTTTGTTCGTTTAAAATTGTATTTATTGATTTCTCGCATTTTGCAAAAGAACTGAAGCAGCAAATTTTTGCTGATAACGAAATTTTCAAAAAATTTATTTTGATCATGGCGAATTTCATCATGAATTAACGTTTTACTATTAGTCTGTAATGTTGGAATATACTACATAATAAGATTGAAACTTCGACAAGATTATTTTTAATATAGGTGAAAATCAGTTTTAAAAAGAAAAGTTATTACCATCGAAAAAGCGAATAAGAAAAGTTAAGTAAAGGAGAGGAGAGATGGATTACAAAATCGATGCTTACATCTTTCCAGTTTTTTGCTAACTTACATCACCTTTCTTCCGGACAGTCTTAACATCACTCTGCGCTAATCTCTCTTACAAGTGAATATTTGTCGGCACACCTAACAAGACACATTGAAGAAAGTAGTTGAAAATTGAGTGATGTTATTGCACTTATGAATGAAAAATAGTTCGAAATGATTTGGAAAGATTTAAATGAAGCTTACGTAAAAGCTATCATCAATGTATCACTCCCATTGGTCATTAACAAATGTTTTCTTAGAGGAAATACCGTAAGTAAAAGTTACATTATTTCCTTTTTATCACTAGAAAAAAACAGATTGATGGAAGTGATAAGATGATAAGAACTGTAAAGAATCTGGATAATGGTGATAGTAACTGATGAAATAGTAAAAGATTTGTGAAAGTATCTGTAGGAAATTGTGATACACAGAATCAGAAAGGAGTTATAACAAAAATAATGCTACTTGAAAAATACCCTGTCAACTCTTTAATCTTCGATTAAGATTCAAATAGCAAAAATTTGAAATTTAAATCGAGATAATTTGATGAACTTTGTGGAAATGATACATTTATTCATTGTAATCATAATAATAATTGTAGTAATACCTTATGCTATGAGATGAACAGGAAAATAGTGATTGCAAGAGGTCCGAACTGAAGTAAGAGGGAGGATCATATTGGCTAACTTTGATATGCTCGTGCTTCTAACGAACTATTTCCTCATCATCTATATCCGTTGTTGTGTTGTCATACATAAAGTTTAGTCTCCTAGAAGCAATGATGTTCGCGTTCTTACAATTCGTATCTATTTCATTGAACCACCTGATCATTCATTTCATATATCTTAGTTGATAAAGTACGAATAGATGAAAGATAGACAGACGTACTGACAGGCAATTATCATTGAAATGTATTCCGTATGCGCCTGTTCCTATCAGTTCAATAGTGCTTTCTTTCAACTTTTATTAACTAATCAGATTATAAGTCAAGAAGAACAACTGTGGCAATCAATTCTGTATACTGATCAACTGTTGATATGGAATGCAAAATAGACATAATAAAATGCAACTCTATATTTCAGGTCATTGACCATTTCAGGTTATCCAAGCTCTTTTATAAAAATCTAAACTTTAATAAATTTTACATCATTTACTTTTAAATGGGAATTTTTCCAATATTTCATGGTGATTTTCAACATGAAATATAATTCATTTTAAGACAATTCAATTGTATCTGATACCATATAAGTAGTTCAAAACTTTTGTGATCAAATTCAAACAGTGATTTAATTGTAATGAGATTTGCGCGCATTTGCCCACATACTTTGCTATCCGATTTATATTATTAAGAAAGTAGCATTAGATGATATTATATACTAAATTTCGACAATGCTTCGGTTTGTATTAAAACAATGAATGTGTAAATGGTTCATATTCAGCAGACTCATTTATATATAATTTATATTAAATTATTATATTTCGAAGCACTGAATTCTGGACATAGTTGTATCATTCGGATATGGACTCAGATGGTACCATGAATTATAAATTATTATACTAAATGACATGAGATAATTTAATTGTGTGTTAGATGAAGAAAAAGGAGTAATTACAAATATTTTCACACAGATGACATGATATGATTCGTATAAAGCTTCGTTACTTTCTTTCTCGATCCATTTCATTATGTGATGATGTATTTACTATGGTTTTCTTTGTTTAATGTTGATTTCATTAAACTTTTTGTCCATAATTATGTTGTGTGATATTTAAACTTAAATATTTCAATTTCAATAATAATTTATTCGAAGGGAAAGGTTATTTCATTATTTTCGTTCATCGAAAAAATTGTTTATGTCACTGTATTTTGATTAGTGACAAGCTTGTTTTTCGGATCCTTAATCAGTGAATACCATCAGCATTTCAGTTATATCTATAAATAAAGGTAGCAAAATGCCGGCTGAATGGAACAAAACCATTTTGAATTTTAATTTTATTATTTAAGAAGTAAACTATTCAGGGAAGTGATGAAGAAATCTAAGGAAAAAGCATGATAAATAATGAAAAGCAAAGAGAAAAAGTTGAAATATTTGCAGAAAAAAAAAATAGTTTTTTGTTTGAATAATAAAAGGTGCAAAAGAGCGAAGCATACGAAGTTAAAGGTATTAGAAACTGTCAGTAAACATTTTTTTTTTTATCACACGCATCCATTGCATTGATAAGCGATAAGATGGAACTAAATTAACAATTGGATGATTGCAAATAAGTAATTAAATCAAACAATAAGTATGTTTCAATGCATAAAGTCTCTATTTGTGATCAAATGAGTAAAGATCAAATTTGATTTCGTTGTTTGAAATTGATCGGTGAAAACTTTTTCTTCTTTTCATTTGGTAAGTAAAAATGAGGGAGAGGAAATGATATGAAAAGGGAATATATTTACCTTTCAACAGGTGATGTAATTTATCCAAGTAGTAATTTCCTTTCATCGTTTTAATCAGTAAGCAATATGTATTGAATATTTCATAAGTGTTTGGAAGTGCTAAGACATTAGGAACTGGTATTGCTTTAAAGCGCTTCTATTCTGCGATATATTGTCAGCTTTTGAATTACTTTCTATATAATTCTTCTTAAACCTGTTTTTTTCTTTTCACCTTCATTATATAATAATATCGCAAACCGTAACAGCAAGATTGGTAGATATGAAGTGATGATGATACATCATATCACGCATGTCATTTTTGTGATATTGTTTGGACGTTGCATGTCGAACGATTGTGGATATCACTGTTACAAGTTACATCGAAAGATTACATCCAAAATTGTTTCTGATTTTTTCTAGATACCAGAATGTCATAGGTCAATTGGATTATAGTTTAGATGGCCTTTCTGCCTTTTTTTAAATAAAATTTACTTGGATATATTATAAATTATAGAATTTCAGTGCGGTCCAAGCTTATTAGTATAGAAAGGAAATGGGTAGTTTTTGCTGATTACAATTTTTACTAATATCAATGATCAAAAAAAGTGATTCATTCATTGAAAATTTATCCAATGTTGCTTACTTTTTAACAGTTAAGTGATCACTTACCTTACTTCCCTCTCCCTCTCTCTC